AACACATTCGAACAACTTATCAAAGCAAATGAGAAAATATTATGATATAGTGACATTAGCATCTAAGTGATTACAAGAGGTACAACGCATATAAGAAATGTTACAATTAACCGTTAATATGGCGACTGGAGTTTAGTGACAACCAAATATAAATACTAAGTGAATCCTAACGCAGTGATCGGGGCTTATTCACACGGGTAGAATCCAATTCGTTGACTATTCAAAGGCATGACTGAAGGCAGATGGTTTACCGACCAAAGTCGCTCAGCCTAATAGGGTCTAAAACCCATTATCGGCTAGGAATCCTTATCGATCGAAATTATCGATCAGAAGAAATGTCCCAAGGTTGTGTTTGATTTGACCCATTTTGACCGAGTCTACGCTCTGAAGATCTCCAGTTAAGTGCTCATGTAAAATGTACATATCGATCGCAGTAGAGCGTCATTGCGACTAAAAAAGCTGGCTTGTTCGCCGAGTATAGACGAGACCTTCTAATAAGCACCATTAGCGAAAAGGGAGCCTTGGTCATTAACTTGAAATTCAACTGCACCATACCACAGCTCTAATCCATTCAAGGTATACCTACTGAATTAAACTTTAACTCTAGGATACGGTAACCACGCTAGCAAAGTACGGTCAACTCGGCGCTTAACCCTCGAAAATATGTCTCAAGCGAATCCAAATTACTAGGCTAACGAATGCAAACAGACAGGTCTGAAAAGCACTAAACTAGCACGGGCTGCCTGTCTTTATCTACCTTTAGGCACCTCTTACAACCACTTTGACATGCCACTTTTCGTCTGAACTTCGTCTGGCACTTGATGTGCGAAAGTGAAGCACAAGAAGCACACTTATGGACTTTTTCCATTTGAAATGGAAACAGCAGCTCTTTATCGTCTTCACAGTAGACACAGGTGGCAGCGAACTGGCGGCAGTGCTGAAACAGTGTGTAGTGAGGAAATTCACACAAAACATTTCTCGAACACAATAAAGAACCACTAGAAATTAATGATGGGGTTTTTAAAAAAATGCACTTGATAGCATAAAAATGAACAACAAGAATAAACAAAATTATCCTCCAAAACAGTGGAATTACGCTTTCAAAACTGCAGGAAAACAGAAGACGCCGGAAAGTGAAAGAAACAATACCTCACAAGCCTCGATATGACATCTAGCAAAGTGGGCTATCGGTTCAAGATGTGAGCTCATGTCTTTATTGTGAACCCGTATAAGATCTGACAGAGAAAATAGGTCGCTGCGCGAGTCGCAGTAGATGGCTGTTCCAACGAGGTCGAAAACAGTGATTGCGAAGACTGAAACTCGACACATTAGAACTTTAATCAACCTTGGGGCTTCAACCTCCTGAAAAGATAGTCAAATGCAAAAAAATAGATAGAAACAGCGAACATTTGAAAATATGAGAAGAAAAATCAAGGGACACTGAATGAGTAAGCGGGCCATGGGCAGGATTCAATCCTCCCCCAAAGGTTTGGGCCGGAAAATCGCTCGTCCTAATTGTTTCTGTCTTCCCCCAAATGGGATTGTTCCTGCTGAAGGGTCTAGCATTCAGGAATGTATGTATATACCTTAGAATTGTTCTGTCCCGAAGTCTCATGTCGATCTAAATGTGTATTAAACAATGTGAGACTTCAAAATTTATTGCAAAAGATTTGAGTCTTTTGCAATAAATTTTGAAGTCTCACATTGTTTAATACATATTTAGTATGTATGTAGGTCAAAGTAAACATACACTGAAAATGAAGAAACTATATCGATAAAAACAAATAAATTCATGGATTTTCGTCCCCTAACCCCTTGGGGAGTATTAAATCCGACCCCAGGTGTCGAACTTTTATCATGAAAAAAAACTTAATACGTAATACCTCTCTCGGAGACCCACTTTCCTACTTTTGCTTTCAAAAGGGAAAATGGTTCTACAATACAACACTCTAGCATATCCTGCAGGCTCCTTCTATAAAACCCTCCAAACACCAAAAAACCACTATTGATCAATACCTACATATTCGGAGGATCGAATAATTTCGAGGCGTAAACTAAAGGAATTAGCAAGACTGCGAAGAAAGAAAAAAAAGGAAAGAGAAAAAGATACTTCTCGACTGGTACAAAAAAGACTCACTGCCCAATCTTCGTCTCTGTATTCTCTGCATCAGGGCATCCTTTCACAAAATCCCACATATATGAAAGTTTCTCTCGTAACACAATCACATGTTTGAGGACCCGTATTTTTTCAACCTGAAATTTACCCGACTGATTTGCTCAATTCAAGCGCCTTCAACAATCACAACAAGTACTTACCATTTGTGGAGCTACAACGTTTACGTGAATTGCAGGCACATCACGAACTTCTAACAAAAAGTGTAAGGCAAGATCACAGACAGGAAATTCACTGAAAACACACAATTTTGTATGGATAGGAAACGGACGAGCTGAAATAAGGAATGAATAGAATTTGCAAAAAAGCAAACAAGGAAGTCCCGAAACTTATTCGATGTGGATGGAATGAATGTTATGCGGAAACCTACTTAAAATTCCACGTATGCAATATTCTAGCGGGAATTATTGATTTTGAACCTTGGTGACAGCATTGACAGAAAACTTTCCCGAAATAATCACAGTATCTGAAACAAAGCACTCACAACGAAGGAAGTTTTGGGAAACTTTTCACCGAAAATTAAATCACTCACTTGACCCGTTTTATATATTCATTCTCCACCCGGATTCCGCACCCAAAACACCGATAATTCTGAGCTTTAAGCAGAACCGTTACGCTGGAAAACATGCTGTAAAGAATGTCATTCTGACTCAATTCATAGATTTATAAAAGCATAATGGCAAGCTGTATACACAGTTGGGTGCCTTAGCTGCAAATGGCATTACAAAAATTCCAATCGCACCTCTCAGATTTCCAAAGCGTATAAATCCATGATTCTCTCGGAGGAGTCCAGTCAGATTCTACACTAGATCGAGAAGACATCCGCCTGCATAAACGTTTCCTCACTGGTGCTCTGTGAGGTACTGGCAACGACAGAAGCTGGAACTCATAAAAAAAGTAATAACATTCATTCGGGAATCTGCTGTAACTGAGTATTTCGGAGCCATTCCTCGAATTTAATTATGTTGCTGGACAAAAACTGAAGGAAAAAACAGAACAGTAGACACTAGTGAAGTAGTAAACTCACCCTGTCCGTGCTTCGAACAAGCTCATCCATCCACTGAGAGACTCGCTCATCACGTAAAGTTTCTCTATTCGTGAAACTAAATTGAAACACACATCAAACAATACATTGTACCTAAAGTTGAGATTTACATGACACTCATCACTTCATCACTCAATCGGTTACAAAGTTCCAAAAACACAAAATATCTAAGTATAACTTTGTAGTTATGTATGTATTTAGTTATGTTTGTAGTATTAGGTACCGGATATCTTAGTGTCGCTTTTCTGAGTTCAGGAAGTTTTGGGGCCGATTACTATGGAAAATCAATATCCCAGAAGGCAGTTTTTGCTCATTAATATTGCGAAATATGTTGCTTACCGTCTTCTATTGTTGGTTCACAATTTAACTTTCCCCCAATTTTTATACTTTCTTCTGAAAATTCCTGGGTCCAGTGTGCAAATTCGCATGTGTGTACCAAATGCATCAAAATTCTTGCTGAGAGCTGTAACCTCCGCCCACCAAACCAGCATTGCATTTGATGGAGGGAATACTACCATTTAAAATGCTCATCGGTTTTTCACAGTTTTCTTAAAAGACAGTAAAGTCTTTGAAGGGATGCCCGCAACCGTCGCCAAAAAGGTGGTCCTAGCTAAATCAGTCAAAACGGGGCTGCACCAGTCTTGTGCTGGAATGGTAGGACACCCTAGCAGTTACTGATCGATGGTGCACAGACGCTCTAACGAAGTTGATTGACCAAGAAATTCTAATAAATGTGCTCATCTGCTACTCACGTGTGCTCAAAAAGGGTGCGTTTTTGACCCTATGTGGCAAAAAAGACTCCGGGAAAAATTGTCCAGTTGAGCTGGTAAGTAATAAATTTTCCACCAAACAGTGCAGACCCTACTCTAACTAAATGTATACATATTTTGTCCAGGCCCAACTGTTTAGCAAGGTAGAGGGATGATTTGTCAGATGATGTCAAATTCGACCTACCTCTCTTTTTCGACTCAAAAAATTCCTAGCTTTAATCGTACGAGGTTTTCACTCATACTGGTAAATGGGAAAGGGCTAATGAGTCATTCGATGGATATGCCGTTTCACTCACTGGATTTTGAATTAAAATATTGGTGGTCCGAAACTCGCGGTGAAAAAACGACACTAAGATATCCGGTACCTAATATTTGTAGTGTGTACGTGTGTAATTGGAGCACAAGTCATGCTGCTTCTTCCTAGCTCCGATATTAAAATAAAGCATCGACGCTAGAGAGATGCCTACACTTTCAAGGAAGGTGATCGAGGTCGGTGATCGTTTCTTCCAAAAGAGATTTCACACTCGTTTTGCTCGATCTTGTGTTTTAGTGTACCAAAGCAGCCCGTCTACATTAGTGATCGAAAAACGTAATAACTTCGTATAGCATACATTATACGAGTATGATGATTCTAGTAAAAAAATATATCAAAAAATGCCGAGGCACAAGCACAATGCTGTGGTCAATGTTTTGAATCCCAAAAATTATGCGGCAGCTGATATCAAACAAAAGCTTGACCAATAAAGGGAAATTTTTTTTTACCTCTCAAGTGCAGCAGAGGCCACTTCACTCCACGTTGGTTCAGGTTTCCTGGAAGGCGAACCTGTTACCGTATTGTGCGCAATCCGTAAACGTCGAGATGGTCTGCATTTGCAGCATGACAATAAATGGACACTGAGTGACTACCCCGCCTTGAAACTATCGCCTGTAGCTTATAGCTTGATTACCTTCTCATGCTTCTGAAGAACGCCGGTTTGGCGGAGATATCGTCCTTAATCTCAAACGTTGGGCATAATATGTCAGAAGGGCAGTCTCCACTTGCTCCATTGATATCGATAGTAGAGGATCCATCGCTTCCCAGACTTTCAGGTATGCGATTCACAGCAATGGGAAATTGCGGGTCAATCTATAAAAAATCGTAGAATTTAGAAGTAGTTCATCATGCCATTATATTGAACATACTCGTGAACCAAGCGAGACAACTCAGGATCCTTCGACACGTCATTTAACCATCGCGCCTCCTCCATTGCAGCCAGTGTAAGACGAAGCGAATACATATACGTATTTGACTGCAACATTTCGATATTCTTCAAAAATCCAAAGACAAATACCAGAACAAACCTCTTCCAGGTCCTTCGACACATTTGCATCACGCAGACGAAGACCTATGAATTCCCGCTCCATTTCCCTCCAATACGGCTCATCAGAAACAAATTCTGGTAATGGTGGCAATTCGTTAGTAATATAGAGATTATTTATCCATCCGTGCTATAAACAGGAGTTGAGACTAGACACACAACTTCGTTGATGAGGTCTAGCTTGAACGTCTACATGACGTGGGTAATAATGATTGAATCATACAGAAACAATTCCAAAAATGATTTCAAAAAATCCTGGGATCAGAGAAAAAAATTCCCGCAGAACCTTGCATCACTCGAAAGTAGTTATTATGAAGAAGCACTCACATCAATGCAGAAAGATGAGGAGATTGGGCACGTTTTTGGAACTGAATCAGAGACAATATCGTGGTCCACTGTTGAGCAGGATGGTGTAGGGATAGGATAGGACGTATCAACTCTTGAGCACGAAGGGCTGTTACTCGCTGATTCATCTTCCGAATCAGGACCTAGACCTGTGAAAGTGAGTTTCTACTGCAAAACGACAGCACTTGCGCTCACAGTTCAATTTCTATTAGCCCATATAATAACTATGACGAAAAGAAATTCAAAGACGACATTTAACTGCAATAACATACCTATGCTGGCAGTGGAGGGAAAGCTCAGATGCCGTCTTAAAATCGGAAAAATTAGACGGAATAGGGCTTTGTTGGACAGACATTCGAAGGTCGCCATCGTCGGAGCTTGCAAAACTGAAAAGATAAAAATCCATTGAAGATTCGAAAAAAAAAACTAAGGCCCAATCATGGAAAGTAGAAGGAACGGAGAGCTACCTTGTGAAAGATATTTTGTCAACCTCAACCATATCCTCAATTTGATCATCCAACTCCTGTTTGCGGGATAGTATTCGTTCCATCCATGCAAGCGTGGTCTGAAACATCTCGAAAATTTTTGAAGAAGTTGTTTCAAAATAAGGCTTGTAATAAAAATAGCGAGAAATTAGACGGGATGGTGGAGGATAAGTTTACAGATTTTATCCGACCATAAAACCGCTAGAAAACAGGTTTCAAATGCTAGAAGAATTCAAAACTTGAAAATAGAAAAGACAATAAAAAAAGAATATTTGGAAACCGAAAGAGCCGAAAACTTCTCCGTGTTGGAAAATCAGAGGCACCAATGTCAGGAGGGGGAGGGGGCATGGCGATGCGGACTGAGCTTCGGTTAAATGAAGAGGATGGGCTTCTAGGGCCGTTAAGGTATGCTTACCGAAACAGGAGAGGGATCCCATCCTGGTGAAGTATGCTCTCCCTAAAAGCTCTCGAGGGAAGGCCAAGCCCACCGGTTCTTGGGACTATCTTCCCGATTGGCATGCAATCGGAGAGATATCTGGTGGGCATGGCCTTTCGCCAGAACTTGAGCATACCTTACCAGGGTGGGGTTCCTCTCTTGTTCGGAGAAGCATACCTATGGCCTCTGAGAAGATGAGTATTGCTTACACCCCCTCCATCCCTAAGCTTAGTCCTAGGGAGGGGCAGGAGGGGAATGCTGAGGGTATTGGGCACTCCGCTGTCAATTGCCCGCTCCTCTTGAGTAGCCAGCGCTAAACTTGGGAATTAAAAAATCAAAAAGAAACCGTCACAAAGCTAGGTTTGCAGTTACAAACTTTTCTCAAGTGATGTCCTGTTCTCAAAAAAAAAGAAGTAATCGAAAATGTATACACTACTGAGAACTACTTATCGGTACACAACATAATACTCCACACACAGCACATCAAGTGATTATCACATGCCAAGGTTCAAACTGATAAGCTGGTCACACCTGTGGAAGAAAAAAAAAAACAATACGAAACCGACGTGAACAGAATTTTGGTCACTAACAAAGAAGATTCTGTGGAGTTCACTGAGCCTTTTCCGTCGGAATTTTACTGAAGGAATCTCGTTGCGAGCAGCAATGCCGTTAAGATGTTTCTAAATGTTCCAAGCATGATTCACGTAACATTGGAACGCCATAGGCGCGCGTGTCGGATGAATCCATACGGTGTGAAGAACGGCGCACTCGCTCACCAAGCGCGTCCGTTCAGAAAACAACCACACCACTCCACCCCGCAATATAGAACATAGATTGAAAGATAAATCAGATACTGAATTGTGCACTGAGCGTCGGATTTGAAGCTATAGATTAACATGAAAAATGAATATTGGAATTGCACGAGATACCAACCCCTCGATCCTAAATTAGAACTCTTTCTTTGCGTAATAACTTCGTATAGCATACATTATAGCATCCAGAAAGGGACATGCGAACACTCAGAAACAACCAAAAAAAAGAAGTCCAACAGTCTCCCGCGAAAACTATAAAATTGAAGCAATCGCGGCAAACAAAACGAGTTACTACACAGACAGAATGGGCTTTGGTCAGTCCACAATGTAACACTAGGTAAAAGGCAGAAAAGTTGAACTACGTCGGATTAACATAGAATCAAGGAGATTCGGAACAAGAACTAAAGTAGGCACGTACAGCAAAATATAACAACGCGAGAAGACGTCCGATCTGTGTTGGCTGTACTACCACCACAGATCACAGAATTACCCGCCTGAGGGCGCACGCATAGTCGGTCGTCCGACAGCAACGGTCGCAACTGTCTGACTGTCTGACTGCATCTAATCGTCGAATACTCAGGCAAGTCCGACGATCGATACGCATCCAATGCTGTGCGACACTTGCAGTCGTTGCTGTCGTCCGACCGACTATGCGTCCGGCCTCTAGGGGCACGCTTATTTGACCTTGCGATAATTTGCTAGATTTTGTCGTGATTTTGATGTCGAAAATGTTCTTTTAAGGTGGAGGGGTAATCAATTCTGTATTACAGCTTGGTTTCATATTTCACGATTTCTGTCGGGATTTAGTGCACAAGTTTAAAGGTCGTTTATAGAGGCGGGATTGAGATTTTCTAATTCCTGTTTCAAAACTGCTTAACGTAGACTCATATTCTTTTGTGGCGATTGTCAATATTATATAAGTTTTTCTTCTCTCAATTGAAGAAGGAGAGGATTCCGCTCCATCAAAAATTTGTAGAAGTGATGTTTGCAAACGCTTTCCTGAGGAATGGGAGGCATAGACAAGCTGAGTGGAACTATTGGAGAACAGTAAGCCCATATCTGAATCTTCAAAGAAAGTGGGCATAGCGCTTACTATCGTTGGAGGGGGTCACTCAAGTGAGCAAGTCACTCATAGTTCTGGGAGGAAGCTTAAGCTTAGGAGGAGAAGGGGTTTCTGGGAGCATGTCAGTCATTTTTTGCCAATTCCCCCCCCCCCTCCGCCCACCCTCCCTAACCTCCTCCGAGGACATGAAACGGCGCCCATGGACAGTTTCTGATGATAAGATTTGAAGCGTGCCAAAATACATTTCTCGATACGATCGTTCGTCACCTCTCGTTCATCTCATATGTGGAACGGCCGTTGATTTGTTGCTTTCGTGCTCGCAACGGCCTTTTTTTTCTTTGATATATTGGTTAGTGGTGTGTCTTCTCTACACCCTTTTCAGGTCATTTCAAGTTTCAAGTTGAAATTAAGAAGTTGGAGATATAGTGTATATGGTTCTAAGGATAAAGGATAAAGCATGCCGTTGATCAATCCCGTCTTGGGATGCGGCACGCATTCTACTTCCATTTGTACATTCGTAGTGGCGTTTGAATGCGATGTGGCCTATACAATGACTTGCGGGGGCCAGCCGATGTTCAAGTCAGTGTTTTTATCCTCCCAGACAAGTCTGGTACCAATTAACCGACCCCGGAGGGATGGAAGGCTTGGTTGGCCCGGGCGACTCACGACCCAGGATTTGATCCCGGACCGCTCGCGTGGTGAAGCGCGCCACTTGTCACTACACCACTTCCGCCCGTCCTGGTAGTATAGCGGTGAGTATCCGCGTCTGTCATTTGGTTCTAATTATGAATAATGGCTGAAAAATGGCCGCATACAAGGCCTCCTCTGACCGCGGTTTGTTTGTGATCTTGCAATTATGGAGTAGGATACTTTCATAGTTAATTGTCAAATCGTAACGATACACTCGTGCACAGCATTGGATGCATATCGATCGTACGGTCCTATTGTACGTGTTGGACAATCGGACGATCGATATTCACCTAGCGATGTTACGGTCGGACGCTGACTATGAAAGCGTCCATAGATACATATGGACCATGCTAATCTGCTGCTGTCTATCTTGCGTTCGCACAGTCGCAGAATTCGGCATGGCCACAAACTAACAAATGTGCAAAGTCGAACTGCAGCACGGTCGCAAAGTATGACCGCTTTCTCAGCGGGGCTTTTACGCATCCTCTATCTCGGGCAGTCTTCCTAAAGCGCATATTTGGAGGGCTTGTTTGTCTGGGGAAGTGGACAAAGATAGGCAGGTGTCAGAGTTCGCGATGGGTCGCGCGAATCGCGCGATGGATCGCAGGAATCACCCGACCAATACTGCGGGGTGTCTCCAGTTCCGCCGCCATTTCTGCTCGATTGTGATGGTTGAATAACGACTGTTCATGATCTACTTGTTTTGTATTCGGTCCGTCAAATATTCAAATGGAACGCTTACGATTTTTGCGTCGCGCGACGAATCGCGGACTCTGACACCAGCCTTATGCGGCAGCAAAGACGGTGATCAGACTTTGCATCGATCTTCGTTTCGTGCTTCTTTCCGTGGAACATGTGTTGTGTTTCTGCCATTCATCTCTGGTTCCGGTTCTCCTACGCAACACCCGACGATTAATCTTGAAGCGAGGCGTGCAGCGCGCGTGTTTCCTTTGAAGTGTGCTTCGCGCTCATGACCTAGTGGGGACCTTTAGTTATACGAGTTCACTGCAATGATTGGGACACTAACCGGTGCTAACTTAGTTGGGGGGGCACGCGGCGGCGCGGCAGTCTGCTCACCTGGGCTCTCTCGAGCGAGACAGTGTAAACTCGAACATTCCAGCTTTTCACGCATGTCAAGTGACTGCCCCCACCCCCCACCCCCTAGACTGGCTACACTCCCCCTGGCCCACGGATTTCCGAACATGCCAGGCGAGCAGACTGCCGCGCCGCCGCGTGCCCCCCCCCCAACTAAGTTAGCACCCCCCACCCAGTCTTATGGTTAGGGAGGGAAAGATCTAAAGAAGGATGCTGAGGCAGTCTTTTGTTCGCTGTGGTTTCTCCCTCTTCTGGCTTAGTGCCTAGTGTCACCATATGCTCTGCCCTTACGCGCGTTTTGAATGCCGGGTGTGGTTCAGCTTTGACGAAAGCGACTTTTCTCGCTTTTCGCTCTCGCTGGGGGCCTCAGTCCACCACGCCTGATTATGAGTGACTTGAAGCGCGGAGAAGTCGCTTTCTGTCGTAGTGAAACGCACAACATGCCCCCCCCCCTCGAAGGCCATGAGGCGCCGCTGCTTTTTGTGGCGAAACTTGTAAGTGCCTTTTTTAATAGCCTAACCTCGGGCTTGCTTTTGTTTTTCGCGCATATTATTTGCTGAAACCGCTCACAAGGTCTCATCCAAAAATAACGGCATGTTGTTAGGTGGTGCCTTGTAACTAAGTGAGGCAGCCTACTAAAGCTTGGACTAAAGCTTAGGGGGGCAGGGATTCTTGGAGGGGATTTATCGGCAACGCTTTGTTCTCGCCAAGTATTGCTCCTCCTCACCCTCGGACTTTGGGTCCTAGTGGGTCCATCAAACCAACGGTTTTTAAGTGCCCTTTTTCAAATTCCCCCCCCCCCCCCCTTAGGGACATGAGCGAACAAAAATATCCACAGCGAATGTTTTTGCACAGTCTAGTGCCCATTGATCGTCCTTCTCCGCGTTCAGGCGTATCCAGTTCATGTCTTGTCTGCTCACGTTTCATCTCGTGATGACACGTTCGAACGTGAAGCTTAACCATCGCTCGTTTTTTTTTTCAGGATCCATGCTTCTGGCGTGTGACGGCGTGGCGGTATGAATAGTAGTCATGACCATATTTTTGATCAGATCAAATTCAAACTTGATGATGAAACGATCGACCCGGAGAAGGTAACCACATAAAAATATTTTTTTCAAGTTCTGCTTCGCATAAGCACCACCATAAACAATTTCCTTTCCAGAGATCGTTTTGGGTTTTATTGTCGTCGTTGGTGCTGTTTGTAGTATGGATAGTTTTTCTTACATATTATTTATCCCGTATAGCAGGGCCAATTGTTTCGTTCATATTGAACAGGTGAGTCCTTTAAGCCATGTGTTTATCTGCTGCCAGAAGAGAAGGGTCTATGCTTAGTCTCCTTTCGGCACCTCTTGTTTTTCTTGTTTTCACATACTAGTCAAGCATGAACGCCATCAAATGAAACTGCATTTTGGGGAAGCGAGGAGGGGGTTGGGAGGATGAAGGGATGAACCAGTTCTCGAAGAAGCACCGCAGTATTCGGAGCTTATTTCGACCACAAGGCCAAACTAGGAGGGTGGAGAAACTCGGGTAAAGCGAAAAGGGTAATGCACGCGGGTATTCTCCTTCTCCCTCCTAATGTATTCAACGAAAAAGATATGCTTTACGCGGCATCACAGTGCTCCCGTATATCTTGCGATAGCTCTGAAAAGATCTGTCAAACGGAATAGTAATGATCTCCAAAGATCCTACTCCTTTTTTAACAATTTGCGTTCAACGGGTTGGGCGTAGGAATGGGAAATCGCCTGTTCAAGATCACGAAAACCTGGAGGCAAGTCGTTTCAATGGTCCTCCTCCACATTGCTCAGTTCACGCTATCTTGTTAGAGGCTCTGGAGTTTACATGACAAGAAATAGAAGGTCTGCAGCCCACTTGGCAGGCAAAAATATGTGGGGCTCCTAATTCTGATTAGCTAGGATGGATTCTACGCGTTTTTCTGCGTCTGCGAAACTGAAAATTTATAAAAAAGCGTGACATTGCAGAAAGGATGTTAGATGGAAGTTATGAGTAGGGGATCAGTCGATGCTTTATTGGAATTATTTCTTCTAAATCTGTTACCTAGTGACAATCGACACTGGACCCAGAAAAATTTGTTTTCAGATACCTACGCTTTACAAAAACTCCGGGACATATCAAGCTTACAAGCTTTTCTCTGAGCTTGCTAGGTGGCAAACTTATGTTCAAAGACGTAGGTGGTTTATTAACATGTTGGAATTTTTTTTTGCATAGTTTAAACCCATATTTTCGAATGTGTATTACAGCTTTTGTTTGCGAACGATGACTACTCCCTTCGAATAAACGACGCATGGATAGTGTTTTCGTATTGGAATTATGTTCCTGGTCGGAAGATTAACTTTAAAAGGTTTGCATTGCCTTTCCTATAACGACTAACACTACCACGAGAATGCGGTTCCTTTGTCTTATAATTTCGATGTATTTTTAAATGATCCTACTGGGAGGTGCGAAGTTGAAGCTTTTCATGGAGGTTATGATCGCTCTTTCAGTGTAAGGGAAGCTAAATGACTGAAACACTTGTACTGCACTTTTGAGTGGGACTAACCGATTGTTGCGGTGTTGGCAGTATGTGGATGTCGTAGCCGAACATTGTTCGCACACGAAACGACAAAAATTCAAAAATGACGAGTAGAAGTAGTTCAATAGTAGGTTGCGGAGAAATATGTAATCTCTGAAGTTAGCTTTTTTTTCGGTGCCAAAACTAGATTGCTCGATTGGCCCCATACAAAGCAATTTTCTCTCCACTCGACTTGAGTGGCCTAGTTACCCCTCTCTTTCCCATTTGTGAGCTCTTCTTATCAATGTTCACGTCTACTGTTAGTTACTCGTATCGGCTTGCTATAACTGCAGTGTTACTAAGCTTGGGTGAGTGAGTTAGTGAGTGACTCGCCAGTCTCTCCCTTTCTTTATCCAACACCACTTTGTTCGTCGTTTTCGAGCTTGCTGAAATTTCTTTGGGTCATAAAATCTGGCATTTGAAGAACATCCGAAAACTCTGTTTTTGCAGCAATTCATCTCGTTTGCATCTTTCTTTGAATGGCTTACAAATCCATGTATATAATCGAGTCCAGCGCTACAAGGAGATTGCTAAACTGTTTCGAATGGAAAAGATTTTTGGAGATGACGTCGAGGTTAAGAGAGCTGTGCCATATCGACAGGTTGTGTTTGCCTTATCCACTGTTTTGCTTTCCTTTTTTTCGTTATTTCTCATGGACCGGTGCACTACTAGTCTCTCATCTCACTGAGGAGTTTCTACGCTTCTCTCTGCAAATTTATTGGTACATTTCCATTTTTTCCTACTCGCATGAAGTCTTCTGAACAGTTTACATTATTCGCGTTTCCGTAGTAAATGCTTTCCTGAGATTTGCTCCGCTTCATTTTTCATCCGTCTTACATTCACGATGAATCGAACCCGACCGATCAAGAAATCCCTTGCTATCCGCTTCTGCTTTCTCTTATGTTTTCTCTCATGTTTCATATCGAGATCCAATGGAAAGGTGTAGTCCACTTCCGATTCTTGCCTTCATGTCTCCGTAGGACTCCAGTAGTGCCTTTTGAATACTTGGAGAAGACGAACTGTCCCAATATTTTTTGCTTTCATCATGAACCATTTTCTTCCAGCGCGGCTCCGTCTGCTTATTGGGACCGCATCTGGTCCTTAGTAGGAGTTATCAAGCTAGACATTTGGTCAGGTCGTGTGGTTGTCGGAAATCGGCTTCTACCTTACATGCTGGTTGTTTCTCAATATGGAGAATATGAACAGTAAGATTTTGCCCTAAGACTGGAGGGTATGCACAGAATCAAAATATTCTCAGGCAAAGTTCGTTTACGTGAATCAGCTGCTGATCGGGCGTTGCTCTCAGTTGAAGGCCAGGCTGAAAGTGTTCGTGCATCGTTTTTGAAACATCCAGAGTACAAGGGAATGCCTTACAAGGTTGATTAGTTTTTTTTATAAAAATATTTCTACTACGTGAATGTCAATTGAAGGCCACCTTTGTTGAATCTGTTTTTTATTTCATTCTTTACATCCATTCTATTGAATTCACTTTGAAGGATCCGCCTCGTACTATGGGAGACGGTTTTGCTATCCTGCAAAGTGCCCTTCTACACTTTTTCTATCACCAGGATATACTAGGTATTTACATGATTTATTTCTCTTTCCTCCTTTGTTTGCATAAGTTTCTGAAATGTACAGTGCCATATGCCCGAAAATGTCTATGCTGGACACCATTCAGGATACGTGACTGTTGACGAGCAGTCCTTAGTTTCTCAACGGCCGATTTGGGAGTCTATATGGCGTTTCGATCATAACACAGTGATCTCCTATGGTCCGTGGGCCGAGCAGCAGCGAGTTCTGCTTTACAGCTTCTTCTTTCCATCAGATTATCAAGTGAGTTTGAGTCTTGTTTCATTCTTTTATTCATTGTACACTGCAGTGATTTTTTTATCTATGAAATTTTGCTCTTTGCTTGAACGTTATTTATTGGATTTCTGGCAAGTGATACAAAAATCGTTTATTTGGACGATTGACATGTTTGTTACCAATAGCGTCAATCGATAAATAATTCTGAACCTTTTTTTCTTCTTGTTCTCCTAGTACTGGATGCCTATGGTTAGCGTGACAGGGTAACCCACCCCCTTTCTTTCGAATTGCAAGATGTTTTTTTTTTATCAAGTTTCACCTTTTGCTGGTGCTAGATCTAATGAAAGCAGGGTCGGATAAGTCCTGACACGACTTTTCGAATGCGGGTCAATTCAAATAACGATTTCTGGTGGTGACTTAGAGCGTAATGCTAAGTTTTTGTGTTAATATGCCATGTTTCTATTTTTTTTTAATTTTTCTTATTCTTTTCTTTGTATTTGTTTATAATTCCCTTCAAACAAGATGAGCAAAGCAAAGCAATCCAAAAGTTTCCTAATTTTCCCTGCTGATGTTGTGCTGGTTCAGACTGCGGTAACCAGATGAACTTCCAAAACGTGGAAAACGGCGGATTCATATTATGCACGATGTGCGTATATCTCTTCTGAAGGAAACTTCTATTGACGTATGGTTTATGCGTGGTGATCAGCTAGAAAGTGTCCATAGTCGGTGTCAACCAGGAAGCACAATTGATGTAAGTTTTCTAATTTTTGGCACTTACTTTTTACTTCTTTGACTTTACGGTTTTTGTTGTTGATAATTTAGGACGTTTTTCTTGACTAATTCAGAATCACCGTTTATTGCAGCATTGTGAAATGCTTCTAGCTTTGTCATCGTCAATCATTTCATTCTTTCTGACAACTTTTATTCCATTGTTTTGGCAGTTCAGCCGCATTCTTCTCATGGACGTTTTTTTTTTTTTGCATTGATGGAAATTATTATTTTTTGGTGACATGCTTGCTAGATAGGTTTTCAGTTACGGTTTAACCTACCTAGTTGTCTACGCACATCAATGTTGACTGTCGAAATTCATCGCAGTCACCAAAGTGATGGGCGATGTTTGTTGAGTGAGCGGTGTGGCCCGGTTAGCTCAGTCGGTAGAGCACCAGACTCTTAATCTGGCTGTCGCGGGTTCGAGCCCCGCATCGGGCTTAGGTTTTGCATTTGTTGTATGGACATGACTCCATATAAAAAACACAAAAACCCCCGCCCCCCCCTTTTCCCATATAAAAACTTATTTTTTCTCCGATTTTTTGTTGTTGTGAAGCTTTTCCTTATTTATAAAATAACATTGGAACTTTTGAAGCACTGCATGTTATGCTCTATTGTAGATGTCAATTTGGTGGATAACAAAAGAGGAAGGGTTCAGCTGGAGTATGCATACTTCTCTTCTTCGTCTGGAAAGCACATCTTCACTTCCTTATCGTAAACTTCTGGAAGCGGAGACATTCAGCGTTGATGCTGAATTCAAATATCCTAGGGTACGTTCTGATTAGTATTCTCTGAAGAGCGCCCATGGGGACTGTTTTTACGATCTTTCCCTGTATCGTGATATTAGCAAATTATAGGGTTGCTTTTTTGTTACGTAAATTTTTGTTTCAGTTTTCGTTTTTAAATTGTGAGGAAAAAATTAGTGATAGATATTCATGCATTTCTTCAGTGGAGGTTTTCAATTAAGTTTCAATGATTTCGTCTCGCACCAATCTGTTTCACATCCATACACTGTCATTTTTCTATTATTATGGCCTATTAGGAAACAAGTGTTTCTAGGTATTCAATGCAAAACAAACATGGGATTTCAAGTTTCGTTTGACAAAGTGCTGCTGCTGGCTTGTATGGGATCACCAGCGATTCGTTTCGGTGAGCTACAGTATAGCATTTGCTGACAGCTAGTTTGGAGAACATTCTTCAACCTGGTGACAACTGGTCTGATACCATACCCACTATTTAGGATCTGATAAACGAGTTTGTGGGCGACACTGCAGCAGACCTTGTTACGTTTATACCTTATACAGTTATCATCGACTTTGATGTTTCGGATAGTTTCGAGGTCACATTTAAAATTCTTGTTACAACGATAAGTTTTGTTTGGTAACCTTTTTACAAGTCATGCAATCGTGCTCTGTCCATATCGGCTGCCATATTTGTGGCTTTTGCAATAGCAGAGTGAAAAATGATCACTATCATTACAGTTGCTATTTAGGCTATTTTATTGCTGAACGAATCTAACTGGGTGGACCCGTCTGAGAAAAATCCGGAAAATGTAGAGGCTTCCATTGTTGGAAGTCACTTCAACATATGTGAGTTTGCTCTCTTGATGAACTCTCAGAGACCTTTTTTTTCACTAAGTCTGCTCGAACTATTCAGCTATTGTAACCCCCTTCGTGGCAGTTTGAGCATTCCCGATTGTGGACGACGATGTCATTAGCCACTTGCAGCTTTCACTATGCCGTTCGAGGATTTCTTACCGGAACTTGTCTCAACTACATATACCCTTCGCTTGGAGAACTCACTAGCGTTGCGTCTACGTTATCCTCCAGGCAGTGCCACAGCACCTATAATGGCAGCGTTGGCACGTGGGGCTTACACCAACATGTACAGCACTCCATCACCTCATGGAAGGTTATCAAAAAATACGGTGAGCGAAGTGTTATCGTTAATGTACACCGCCTAGCGTTCACTCTCATGGGTTGAAAAAGGCTTTATGAAATGGAGTGAGGGTAAGTTCCTTTCTGATTACTCCCATCTGAAAATTACCCACAATGAAGGGGGTGTATTGAAAAAGTACTCCATCATTGTATTATTCCTAACCTCGCATTGTAACTGTTTAGGAAGAATGGCATGAGATTTGGCGTACAGAAAGCATAACATGCACAATTGACTACACATATCATCCTACTGTGCCACGAATTGCATCGGATTTGCCATTACATGTACTGCAGGAATTTTTGCCAAAGCCAGTTGAGCATCCTAAAGACGTGAGTTTGCAAAGGTAGTATTGGAGACTGAGACAATTTGGTATTTCTTTTTTTTGTCTTGACCTGTATTTCCTAAAGAGAAGCTGATATTTACAGCTTCCACCGGACAAAATGAATGTGAAATTAGAAATCGGCGGCTCAGAAGTGATGTTCACTGGATCGTTGATTAAGTGTGTGATCGAACTGAAGAATAACTACTTCGGGTTATATGACTCGGTTGGTACTTAACTGATTATCTTCGAATTGGAAACAGTTGTAAAAATTACTTTGAATCTGAATTTACGTTATTGTGGAGGAGTCGGTCGTACAGAGCTTCGATGGGGGCCACACTTGTTGCAGCCAGATGGGGCAGCTAGTGTTGTGTTGACAGCTCATCTTCGTTATGGGTCAAGGTTATCTGATCAGGTCCAGCAAGTGTTCTGTAGCTTAGGACTGGCCTTTCAGACTTGTCGAAAAAAATCAGTGTCATTTCGATTTTGCTCTGAAATTTTTCGGACCAACATAGATATCAACCAGAAAAGCATTTTTGCCGTTTTTCTAATTGGGCTTGCGTGATTACCCAGTGAGTGTCTTCAAGTAGTAATAAGGCAAAAGTGGAGCGACTGGCATTCAAAAACGCGATGAGTTTTGGTCTAACAGCTCTACGCAACGTTTCCTTCTACATATTTATATTTTTACTAGGGCTTGAAGCACAGAGCGTTTTTGGGTTTAGGCTTTTCAACAGTGAGCTTCTAGAACGAATGACGGAGTGAAATTTGGTCAATTTCAGATGACTGATGTCACTCATCCGGAAGCGGTGGCAATGACACGCTCCATTTACAATCGAGTACCTCCGAATGCTCCTGTAGAAGCATACAGGCCGATGGAGGTGTTGGTGGATTTCAGAGTATTCAACATCAGAGCTCACTGCCTGACTTACGCATCGTTTTCGGAGGAGAAGAGTTAGTTGATTCCATTGCTAACGTTTGATAATCACGAACTCTTGATCCGCTTTTCGTATTCCGAAATAGGATTGTCATTTCATGTAGCCCTTATTCTATTACAAGCCTTCACCCTTATTTCCCGCACACTTGAACACCTCTCTTCTTTCAAAAACACTCATATTTTTCCTTATGCACAGTTGGAAACCCAACAGTCATCTACTTTACCCTTTCTAAGCAAATCGTCCTCATTTCAGGTTTTTGCCCCGTTCTTTATACGGAAGAGATCGCTGTGGTGATAAAGAAGGGTTTCAAGGAGACCATAATACAAGTAGGTTGCATTTACCGAAATTCACTCTTACAAATGACTATGTTTTTTATTCATTTCGAAGGTAATTACCCATCAAAAAGGGTAAGACTGTTTCGCGGATATCGGCGGGGTCCGCTTCGCAGGATCCTGCCTACTTTTTCAAGATGACTTCTGCCAGCAGACTGTCTCTGAATGGTTTTTTCCAAATTCTTCGTTTTCGGTCGGCGTTGGTCCGTGTGCAGCGTATTTCGAACGTGCGGCATCGACGCAGAATGACGGCTACTTGACGCTGTCGGGGTTGCAGTTCAGGTAATTTGATACCATTTCTGCTTATATGAACTTCGGAGTTCTGTAAAAAAAAACCCCACTTCAGAGGACATGCAATGTTCTCGTCAGTTGACTGCCCATGGGACATGGCTGTAGTTGAGTACTGCTGGCTTACAGAGATTTTAGTTGGTGAGGTCGGCGGGTGCTTTGGCAGTCCATCACAGGTCAGAATTAACAAGTTTTCTTGTTTTGTTTGCGTTACTTTTGTCTTCATAAGCATAACAAAGTCTTCTTGGCCTTTTTTTGCCCTGCCTCTTATTTCAGCATTTATAACCATTATGACATTGTGATGTTTTGTTTTTCGATATCTCTACCGAATAAGTTTTTCAGATTATCACATTGGTGAACTTTCTGGATACATTGCTGTTACTTGTCATTGCGAAGGATGACGCAAAAATCGTCCCAGACAGGTTCAAGTTTTGTCAGCATGGGCAAACAAGTACAGTGTGCTCAGTAGGATCCCAGCCTGGTCGTCCATGCGAGTCGGAAGAAAGGTATGTGATATTTGCGCATAACGGTTCTAAAAAGGAGCTTGCACTCCCCTATGAAAGATGGAATATTTCAGGTTGAAGTATCGTCAGATGCGGATTTCTGTAGATGGTGTGCAGCTGGCTTTAACCGATGAGAGCAATGTTATCACGGTGAGTCATAATAGAGGCTCAACTGGTGTTAATGCGTTCTTAGCACAATCTGACGGTAAAGTCGCTGCTAAAAATGATGTTTTTTAGCTCACTGTTGACCCGATCCGGTTCACCCTTTGCAATGCCCATGAGAAGAGATTCACTGAGCACATCTGTGTTCGAATACCGCAAGTGAAGGCTCTCCAATGTATGAATTTTTCCAGAGTGCTTTCCTGTTTCTGGGAGCCTAAGAGAACTTTGAAGCAATTTGTATGTTTTCCAGTGTTCCACCCAGCTGACAGTCCCACTTGGATTGAATGTGCACGCGCGAGTATTTCTGGAGTCTCGCTTGATGTTGAGGTCAGCTTTATCAAGACTTACATAACTTTCTCCTCGCAAAATAGGCAAAGCTAGTGGAAAGTGGTTTTTATTTCATTGAGACTTGAGGCAGTGGCCCTTGCCAATGCAGTGTCAACGTTCATAAAG